AGCAGGATCGCTTGAGCCCAGGAGTTTGAGGTTGCTGTGAGGTATGCTGACACCACGGCACTCACTGTAGCCTGGGCAACAAAGTGAGACTCTGTCTCAAAAAAAATAAAAAAAAAAGAATATGAATCCTTTTACAATCTATCCATTCTGGTCCTGGCCATTGATCTAGTGGAATCTTAGTACCTGTATCAATTTGCTTATACCTATAATAAAAATATTGCCTATTCATTTATATTTATCACTAATAATTCCTCTTTCTTTTGGCCTATAGTTCTTTAATTCAGAAATTTTATATTATTATGAACTAAAATACTTTCTTTCGTGACCTGTAATATCAAAATGCTAAATGTATCTCTGCTTTCAGATTTGATATTCAATTCTATTTTCTTCTAGTTTTTGCATAATTTGTAATATTTAATTAATTTATCTCAAATTTATTTAGGTATACTATTTAGAGTCCTTTTCTTTCCCCCAATTTTTAACCAACTGTTTAAATGTCTTTTTTCTCATTGAGTTGCAATGCTTATTTTATCCTTAAATGCTTATATTGTATAATTGGGTCTACTTCAGTGTAGCTAGTCTGTTAAATTGATTTATAAGCTATATAATGTTTTGCTATTTGCCAAGGCTAATAATCCTCCCAATTAAGCTGTGCCTTCAAAATTTTCTTTGCCATTTTCCCATTTATTCTTCCAGATGAATTTTTAAATAATGATATCCAATTCTAAAAAGACTCTATTGAATTACAATGTAATTCACTGTAATCATACAAAGCCAAAAAATAAATCAAGGAAGAACTGACATCTTTACAATTTCAATTTCCCCATCCAAAAAAAAATTTTCTTCATTAAGTTTCCCCATGCTTATCAACAACTATGGGAAATTTCTTCATATTTCTGGTCATTTTCTTCACATAGATCATTGACATTTCAAATAAAGCTTATTCCTAGGTACTTTCTATTTGTCATTATTTTATGTTGTTTTGTAGTTGGGATATTGCTGGTATAAGTAAGGAAACTCACTGCTTGACAAGACAGTCCACTCCACTCTGTCAATGCATCCTTTTGTTTCTTAGCTGTCTCCCTATAACCACCATCCACAGATCCAGATTCTGTCCTCTGGAGCAAGAACTGCTGCTACTTCTCCCAAGGACAGTCTTTTATCTCTTTGGAGATTGCTATCATGTTTCCCATCAGCATTCTTTTGTCCTGGCTAAAGAGCCCCAACCATGAAATGAAAATAACATTTGGGGAAGATTCAAATAGCAGTGTGTAGGGGGGGAGGTGGATTTGGGCCAGGTAAGAGACTAAAGGTGTGGGATCAGCAAGGACAGCCTCAGTGGCAACCCAGATTCAAGAGATGGGTTAAGTTGAGGCTGTCAACATGGGAAGGGGCATATGAGAGACATTTCAATGGAGGAAACATCAGGATATGGTGACAAACTGGATGTAAGGGATAAAGGAACAGAAAGAGGGGTCACAGATGACTTGAAAATGTCTAGCCTGAATCGCTGAAGCGTTATGCTTCCACTAAGACAAAGTGCAAGAGGTTAAAAGGGGAGAAGTTTGAAAGGAAGTCAATTTTGGACCTCCTGATCCTGAGATTACGATACAGCCAAGGAAAGGGGTCTGTCCTATAGACCAGTGTTCTTCACATGTTTTCTCACAGTAAGAAATATATTTTACATAGCAGGCCAGTTCAAACACAAGCACAGACAGATAGACATAAAACAGACATAAAAGGGTCACAAAATTCCTGCAGACATATGCAAGTTTGGGCCTGGAATCCTAGTGGGAGGGAGGAAAGGGCTGGGTGTGTGATCAGCACTGAATTGATAGATTAAGTCATGAGGACTAATGACTTCCTTTCCCTCTGAAGTTCTGTGGTCTAAGACTTGGCGATCAACACCTTGTCAGGAAATTAATTATCCTGCCACCATCTACCTTCAATCCCGAGTCCCAGAGGGCTCCAGGGGAAGATAGATTCCAGCACAAAGGCCACACACATTTTAGAGTTCAAAGTAGGTCTCACTGCCAACCCACAGAGCACGCTGTGCTAGAAAGCACTGGCTTTTAAAAAACATCTCCTTTATCCTCAGCCTGGATAAGATTTTTCCTTGGAGAAAGAGGGACTAGACAGAGTATTTAGGTCTCCAACTTTCAAGTTTCAAGGCCATGGCACTTAGAATTGGGACAGGGAAGATAGGAAATAATTTCTCCTTGCAAGGCTAGAGTCCTAAATCGGGGCATGGAAAAGAGGCCAAGGGCCCTAGGCTAACATCTGCTGTTGGGTCAGAGCCTGAGCCCGGCAAGGCCTGGCTCTGAGGAATGAGGGAGCCTGGGAGGTTATTAGAGGCCCCACAGAAAACAGCATCACATACTGACGAGCTGGTTAAAGAGAGAACGCCACTTTTCCAACCCAAAGGACATTACCCTCCTCAGTCGAATTAAGTTGCTTTAACCTGTGTCATGTCAGAGCATCTTTCCAAAGTGGAACATCCCATCGCAAAAGGTACTTTTAAATACAGATGAAAATGAGCCAACCAATGTTTGGCCTCAGAAAACTTAGTGTTATAAAAGTTTCAAAGCACCATTTGGTTGAAATATCATGTTACTGCCAGGCTTTTTTTTTTCTGCTCAGGGGAAGGAACAAATGAGAAGGGAGAAGACAGGGCAGTTGTCTGGGAGGCAAAGCGCGCTCCTGCAAGCTTCTTTTCCCACGTTGGGGCTGACGCTCCGGGTTTACGGGAGGCCGCTGATGAGGGCTGCATGTCTGGGCAGCTCTTAGCCCAGCTCAAAGAAACAATCCCTCATGGCAAAGGTCCCAGGGAGTTAGACTCCATCCTCTCTCCACAAAATATTAAAGCAGCACGGAGGAGGTGGCTTAAAAATGACAAAACACAGGCAATAAACAGGCTATTGAAGCCAGGAGCAGCTTACAGACCACACCCTTTCGCAGGCCCTGAGCTCTACCTCCTTCTCCTCAGGTCCCCTGTTCCCCGTCCCTAATTGAAACTGCCTTTCCCTGACTACTTTCCCTCCCACAGAGCCTCCTTAGCCCCTGCCCATGGCCCTGCTCCTGTTGGCAGTGGTGTAACTCAACTCTGGGAAACACACACCAGGGGCACTTTTCTGTCCAAGGAATCTCTGAGCTCTAGTTCTAGTCTCCGGAAGGCCTCCAGGCCACTACGTTATCTCCAAGCCACATCTGTGCTCCTCCCACCACGTGGGGAGATCCAGCTGGAAAGCCTCCCTGCCCCGTGTGGCGGCACACTCACTCCTGTATTCCTCCAGCCTGGCAAGTCTTCCTGGCACCTTAGTCAGCTCCACCCTGTTAATATTCTGAGAACAAGCACAGTCTGGATATACCCATGCCAAGCAAGACTGACAGAGAAAGAGGAGAACCACGGGTGTCAGAAGACAAATCCAGGTCTAGGATGCAAGGAGGTTTTCAATGCATTTTGAAGCCTGTAGTGTGAATTGGCTGAGAAGCAGAAGGGAGAAGAATAGTAGTAAGAGAAAACTTTACACTCTTTCAATTGAAGGAGAGTAAGGGGAGGTAGAAAGGAAACAAGGCCAGGGATGAGGGAGGGGTGTATTTCCAGTTTCTATGGCCCAGAGAAGATTCATGTGAATTCAGCTATGTCCTCATTTGGCTCCGCAGTCAACTGCCTCTTGGCAGAAAGAAAAAAAAAAAAAAAAAACCATGGGACTGATTGATGCCCAGAGATAGCCAGAAACTAAACTCTTAACTGGCTGCAGTCAGCATTTCCAGAGTGCTCCCATTTCTGCAAAGGACATGGGGCTACTCACCTACCTCCAGTGCTGACTGGCGTATCTCTGCGTAATCCCAGGACCTCTGAGCACCTTTTCCAAATGAGGAGGACACAAAGTGGCCCAGCTTACAGATTCCCACAGGGCCACCCCCAGAGAGAGTCAAAGCTAAAGTTAGGGAATTAGGGGCTATCCCCTACAATCAGGACTCAAACCAAGGAGCTGAGCTGCTTCTAATACCTCTAAATGCCACCAAGTCCTTGTACATAGCATTTGGCATGTTTGGACCATACCTCCCAGATGTGGACAACAGCATGTCCATTCAAGAGGCACTAATATTATGTGCTTTCATCCTCCCCCAAAAGTGAAAGGAAACCAGGCCAGGAGGTCAAAGAGACACAGTAACATAATTTATTAAATTCACCATACAAAGAATATGCCACAGGAAAAAAAAATATCAGAAGTGGAAAGGACGCGGAGTCTGACCCCCTCATTTCACAAATGAGGGAGCTGCCTCCAGTCCCAGAACACCATATGGACAAGCTGGAATGTGAGCCTGGCCCTGTTACACAGAAACGCACAGACTTAAGGCTTCTGGTTCTGAGCCAAGTGGAGCCTAAAGACTTAATCTATATTTAGTTTTAATTTTTCTATTTCCTCTAGCACCACACTCTGATGCTCATCTACTTCTTGAGGCTGTAGGAAGAGCACTAAAGAAAAAGACAAGCTGCGGGGTCATTCAGAGCCAGGATAAAAGACCAATTATATATAGAGCAGAGGAGTTTAGAGGGGTCAGGGGAAGAACAGCTCCTCGCCCTAGAAGAGTCCTGATTGTCCCTTTCACCCCCAAACAACATACTCTCAGACCCCAACACCTCAGGGAAAGTATACTTGCATTCCTAAGGTGTAAATCAAGTTTGGAGGAGGAAGGGAAAAGAAACAGAGGAAAGGGAAAGATTTATAACAATTTCATTCTTGGACAGGTATGGTGGTTCACTCCTGTAATCCCAGCACTTTGGGAGGCCAAGAGTTTGAGACCATACTGGGCAACACAGTAAGACCCCATTCTCTACAAAAAAAAAAAAAAAAAAAAATTTTAAATTAGCCAGGTGCAGTGGCAGGAGGATCACTTGATCCCAAGAGTCTGAAGTTGCAGTGAGCTATGATGACACCACTGCACTCTAGCCTGGGTGACAGAGCAAGAAACTGTCTCAAAAAAAAAGAAAAAAGAAAAGGAAAAGGAAGGAAGAAAGGAAGAGAAGGAGGGAAGGAGGAAGGGAGGGAGGGAGGGAGGGAGGGAAAAATAACAATGTCATTCAGAGATTAACAAGTCCAATGGGAACACTTTCCCCAGTTTCAAACAAATCCAAACACTGCAAGAGAAGGCTGTAGAACTTTGGTATTAAATCACTTATGAGATGTAAGCAAAAACACCAATAACTTAGCAAAATAAATACAATGAGGATTTTGCTGGGACTGATATAACCCAGTGAAAACAGTTTTTAGGCTCTGGGTTAAGATGACTGAGGTGTGCCTTGTGGTACACCTTAGGGGAAAACCCAGGAGACTCTGGCAGTTTTCACAGCAGAGAGAAGTCACACGTAGCTGTGGCCCTAGAGAATCTTTCTGCAAAAAACTATCCCTGAATGTACATTCAAAACCTTTTCCTCAGAAAGACAAGGCCAATCCAGTCGAAGTTTAGGTTCACTGACTCTGACCCGAGCCCTGCAGTCTGTCTGCAGGAGGCCCAGGTCAGCAAGGGCTGAGGGTGGAGCAAGCAGAAAAACAAATAGTTTGTTGCTAAGAACTGAGCTGTGTTTACAGAAGAACTTCATTCCCCCAGGACATTCTCCAATCACCCTGGGCATCTATGCCTCCATCCTTGAGGCAAATGTCACCTCTCCTGACCAGATGAAGGCCTGGCTTCTAGGGCAGTTGGACTTCAGTCTGCAACAGAAGGGATCTCTCTACAGAGAAAAATAGTAACTATAGGAATAAAGATACTGCCCCGTCTCCTGCCTGCAGGATAACGTCTTCCAAAGGTCTGCAGTGTCCAGAGGAGGCGCTCATGCTCTGTCTGCCCAGCATACAGAGGCGAGGAGCTTGGGAATGGTGGCACATGTGAGCCCAAGCCCTTGGTGCAGCCAGGGAACAGTCAGGAAGTCAAAGTCAGTGCTAACAGCCAACAGGGGTGGTGGGCTTCTCCGAAGGCAGGAGGCAACAGCAACAGCAGCATCCGTGTCCTGGCAGCTCATGTTTCCACCACTCGGATGAGAGGCATGGGCTTCGGGCTGGGAGGCTTGGATATCCTAACACTGAAAAGAAAGTTGGAGACGGCTGTGTTGTTGCCCACCCTCCACATGTGCCTCTGGAATCTCACACTTCAGTGCTGGCTGATCTCATGGGTTCCAAACACTTTGAAAAAGTGACTGTCAGTGACATCTAAGAGAAGATTTGGGGCTCGATACATTTGCCTGGAGGCAGGGATGATGCAAGGAGAGGGGAAGTTCAACAACTTAGAAGTGGATATAGCTGTGATTCTTGATTTTTTTTTCAAGGTCTTAGGCCCTTTTGTAAATCTCTTGAAAGCAAAAGACCCTCTCCCTAGAAATACACCAATATTACCAATACATTCTGAATACCATTTCAGGGGGTTCATGTATACCTAGAAGCCATTCATGGACCTCCTTGGGTTTATGATATCAGGCTCTACTAACTAGCTTAGAAAATGGTTCTGGTGGAGAATGGGTCAGATTAGAGACTGAGGGAAGAAAGCTGGACTTAAAACAGCCTGTCCTTGCCTTACCATTAAAGGTTTCACATGGCTCTCTCCCTCCTCCTTCCCTTCCTACCTGGGCCCGTTCTATCTATATGCGCTTACTCACCTGCCCGGGTTCTCTGTCTTGGCCCGGGCCTGGGTGCTGAAGTTGCCATAACTGATTTGTTTTTCTATCAGGTGCTCCATCCGATCGTGCATCTCTAAATTCTGCAATACAAGCTATGAGGTTAGAATTGGCCTTTTTCTGGGGCATTCTGGTCTATCCACCTCTGTGTTTGTGCTGCTGTTGCCCCACCCCCACGACACGGATGCACGCTCCCGTCGTCCGTCCTCACTGCTACAGATTGCTCTCTTCCTCTCATATCACTTCAGGGGGTCCATATACATCTAGAAGTCATTCATGGACCTCCTTGAATGGCTTGTGCGACACTGACCATTTCCCACATATCCTCTATATACATTTCTTGTATATAATTTCTTGTTGTCAATTGAATATAGTCCCTTACCTTTGTCGATAATGCTATTCTATAAAGCATTCTTTGGTCTTTTTAAAAAAACGCATCAAACTCCCTGAAGATGAACAATCCTTTCTACCATTTACCTCACAGGCACAAGGAATCTTCACACAGTGGCTACAAAGTAATCTTCAGGTAGTCAACAGACAGGAAGGGCTTTGTAATAACATGGAAACCAGACTCGGAAGACCAGGCCTCAGGGAATCAAGCCCGTCCTCTTAGCCATGGAAAAGACTCCAACTACAGAATGCCTCCTCCTCCTTCAAAGCCCAGCTGTCACTGTCAGCTCCTCTGCAAGGCCCGTTAGGATGGGAATGAAGGGTTCACCGCCACCATGGTATGCACCATGACAGGTCCCTGGAGGGCAGGGGCAGGTCTCACCAACCTTAGCAACTCCCTGGAGGTTCTCAGAAAATGTTTACTCAACTGAACTGAAGATCCACCAACCATCCCAGATATTTGCTTCAGAGCAGCAGCTAGATAGGACCGAGACCCCTCTACAACCTCTCCCTCCCTCATGTCCATCTTGTCTTCAGGAGCCCCATTCCCCTGCCGGGGCTGTCCAGCACACAAACCTCTGCCTCCAGATAGGCGACTTTCTCCTTGAGCTCCTGGATGGTGGCGTCCTTTGACTGGATCATAGCTTTTGAATTCTGGAGCTGCAAAGACGGAGGAGACACGGGAGCTCATTATGTGATGACTCATTGGACACTCACCAAACTTCACCCTGCTGCTGGGGAAGCTAGCAGAGATGAAAGGCGAGCTCTGCAACTCTCACATGACTTAATTAGCTTTTCTACAAACGCTTCATTTCAGTCAATATTAAACTCTTGATTATCCCAGGGGTGAGAGTGAGGGATATATGAGGGGAACACTACCCTGATAATCCAAAATAATGGATGATTCAAAACCTACCCCATTTGGCTTTAGAAAATACTAATTATTTTTTCGTTCAAGAAATATTTATTAAGCTAGCATTCCGGGAGGCCGAGACGGAAGGATCACGTGAGGCCAGGAGTTCAAGACCAGCTTGCGTAAGAGCTAGATCCCCATCTTTACTGAAAATATAAAAATTAATCGGGCAACTAAAAATAGGAAAAAAGATGGGTATATACAACCACAAAGAGTAAGATGTGCAACGCTAGGGGGATGGACACGCTTGAAGCTCTTACTCGAGGGGCGAGGGGGACGTGGGCAATATATGTAACCTTAACACTTATACCCCCATAATACACTAAAATAAAAAATAAATTTAAAAAAATAGAAAAAAAAAGGAAGAAAGAAAATTAGTCAGCGTGGTGGTGTGGGCCTACTGTCGTCCCAGATACTCTGGAGGCTGAGGCAGGAGGATCACCTGAGCCCAAGAGTTTAAGGTTGCTGTGAGCTATGATGACCCTGCTGCACTCTAGCCTGGGCAACAGAGCAAGACTCTGTCTAAAAAAAAAAAAAAAAAGAAAAGAAAAGAAAACAGAAAAAGAAATATTTATTGAGTGCTTACTATATGACAGACCCTGTTCTAGACAATGGGAAACAACAGTAGAAAAAACAGATGCAAATGGAGCTGACAAGAAGCAAACACACCTTCCCCATTAGGGGGTGTTAATTTCTCAAAACAATTCTGCAAATGGGCATATACAGAATGTACTACCCTACAGCTCAGGTGGGGAAGGGCAGGAAATCTGCCATGAGGCAGGAAGACTGATAATCTGCAAGCAGATAACAGAGTTATGATGACTCAATTACTCATTTACCAGCAATTTTCGGCATGTAAGGGAGACCAATCTTTTCCTTCCTTTCCTTTGGGAAAGCAGAAGCCAAATGGCCAAAAATTAAGGGAAAGATGGAAGAAAATCAAGTCCCAATAACCCAAACCTGTAAATGTTTCATGGGAAACGCAGGAATATAAACCAAGCTCCCTGGGAGAATAAACAAATAAAAGCGTAGACTGGGAGTAACAACCCAGGGCGGGCTGAGACCTGACCCTCCTTACCTGCTCTATCATTTGTCGCACTTTCCGCTGCTGGCTCTTGAGCATGTCATCCAAGTGGTGGATCTTCTGCCGCAACCCAGCCACTTCCTTTTCCAGGGTAGCAGCTCTGGGAGGAAAGATCGGAGGCTGAAGCAAAGGAAAAATATACCTACTCTACCCAGTACAAGAAGAGCCATGGGCCTGGGAGGCTCTCATCAGGTGTGATTCCCTCCACCTGATTCCCCATAGGTGGTGGGACACCTTAGAACAGCACATTGGAAGCACCATTGGCGATCATCCTATCCAAGTGACGAAACTGAGCCTCAAAGAAGTTAGAAGGGATAAGTCATTTTGGATGGCTCTGGAGGGTAAAACTAGAACCAACAGGTACATGTTCCAGGTAAGCTGTTTTTATATTAATGCAGGAAAGACTTTGTCAGTATCAGATCATCAGAAAGCGGGCTGCCTCACATGTAATGAGCTCCTCACTACTGGGAAACATTCAAGTAGGAGCTGGGGTTGTTATACCCAACACCATCAAGCTGTTGGCGGGAATTTGGTTTTTTTTTTTTTTTTTTTTTTTAGAGAGGAGGTAGATGTTTGCCTGTAGATGTTTATTCTGGTCTCAAACTCCTGGCTTCAAGCAATCCTCCCGCCTTGTCCTCCCTAGGGATTTTATACCAGGAAGGAGATAAGATATCAGAAGGATCCTTAAAGCCTCTTCAAGCTACTCTGTTTCTAAGTCTCATAATTTCCAAACCACTATTTTTTTTTTTTTTTTTTGAGACAGAGTCTCACCTTGTTGCCCAGGCTAGAGTGAGTGCCGTGGCGTCAGCCTAGCTCACAGCAACCTCAAACTCCTGGGCTCAAGCAATCCTCCTGCCTCAGCCTCCCAAGTAGCTGGGACTACAGGGATGTGCCACCATGCCCGGCTAATTTTTTCTATATATGTATTAGTTGGCCAATTAATTTCTTTCTATTTATAGTAGAGACGGGGTCTCACTCTTGCTCAGGCTGGTTTCGAACTCCTGACCTGGAGCAATCCGCCCGCCTCGGCTTCCCAGAGTGCTAGGATTACAGGCGTGAGCCACCGCGCCCGGCCTCCAAACCACTATTGTTTCCTTTGCATCTTCTAAGCAAACTGAGCCCAGATCCCTAACAGTCACTGTGACATAAAAATATATATTTGGTCTCTACCCTGGGTTCCTGAAACCCTGGTAATTTCCGGAGTATACAGGGGTGACAGGAGTATGTTTTGTTACAGTATTTGGTCTTAGTGTCTGGTTCCTGACAAGACCCTTGGAATCTCCGGGAATAAGTGTCTTCTTGTGTGCTAATGAGATGACTGTTGGTTGGGATCCCTAGATAAAGCCAGGATGGGGGCTAGTCAAAGACCACGGCTTGATTAAAGGGTCTGCACTTTCAGCTCCACCACCCCCAACCTCTGTAGAAGGGTGAGGGGCTGGAGGTTGAGATTCACCAGTGGCCAGTGATTTAATCCATCATGTCTATGTAAAGGAATCTCCTTTAAAAACCTCAACAAAAGGGTCTGGAGAGCTTCCAGGTTGGGGAATGTATGCACACGTTGAGAGGGTGGCACGCCCCAACTCCATGGGGACAGAAGCTCTGGCACTCTTCCAGACCACCCCCTATGTACCTCTTCATCAGTCTGTTCACTGGAATCCTTATATTATCCTTTATAATAAACTAGTAATTATAAGCAAAACGTTTCCCTGAGTTCCATGAGTCACTACAGCAAATTATCAAACCTGAGGAGAGGATCATGGGAACCCCCAATTCATGCCAGGTTGGACAGAAGCATGGGTACCCTTGGACTTGTGACTGGCATCTGAAGTGGGGGTAGCCTTGTGGGACTGAGCCCTTAATGGGGGGGGGTTCCTGCACTAACCCTGGGCAGTCCTAGAATTGAATTTTATTGAAGGACACCCAGTTGATTCCAACTGCAAACTGGAAAAGTGCTTGGTGTGGAAAACCCACACATTTGGTGTCAGAGGGATTATGAATAGAGGAGCAGTTTTCCTTTTGTCAGGACACTTGGGAGAAAGAGTGCCCAGGGGTTTGGACCCCTGAAAGAATCCATGACTGCTCCGTTCTGCCAGAGGACGTTGAAGTGTCCCAGAAAGTGGGCCGTGCTCAGGGCAGGGGGGATACAACGCAGCCAAAGCCACCCCACGTTCTTCTTGAGCTTAACATTCTAAGTTTCCACCCTCAGCTCTCCAATGCCCTAGTTCTTGGGCTCCTCTCATTTGGAAAGTCAGCACTTATGATGCACAGCTGCCACGTGCATGCCCAAGCCGTGGCTTTGGACTGTCCAGTCCTCTGTTTCTCCTGCTCCTCCCTTCTGTTGGTCTGCCCAAGTGCACCTCCACCAGAGAGGAAGACGGAATGCTGAGTAATTTAAAGGTATTCTGATATGAAGTCAAGTCAGAAAGGAGGCTTCAATAAGAGCTGTGCCTTCTCCATGCCAGGAAGTCCAGTCTAGGTTACCCTAACAGAGAGAAAATGCCTCCAGAAGACTGAGGGTCCTGAAAGGCAAGGATCGTGTCTGTGAATCTTGGAATTCCTTAGAAGGCCCTTCAAATAATGTCTCGCTGAACTAAAAAAAAGTCCAACTTACACAATGGAGATCAGACCCAATATGTTGATATTAAAATCGATTTACCATTTGTGGTCTTATTTATTAATTGCCAACGGCATAAAGAACTTCCACATTCCTGAAAATCCAGAAGGCGCACTCGTTGCTCTGTGGGTTTCACTGGTCTGGAGCCTCTCTCATCCCGTCTGATCAGAAGGAATTTATAAAACCCTCTACCCTTTGGGGGTAGGAAGGATCTCAGAGATCGCCCAGCCGCCACAGCTGACAGGTGGTTCTCGGTTTCTATCTGCGTCGCTTCAGGTGACAGGAAGTTCAGTATCTCCTCGTAAGGCAGCTCATTCTGTTTTTCATCAGCATAACTTGTGAGGAAGTTATTTACCCTCAATAGTTTACAGTCAGTTTTGGGTTCGGCGGGGAGGACGGTGGGGCCTAATACACCCCGAGTAATCCTCTGCAGAACGGTGTGCTGTGGCAGCAGATGCCCTCCCAGCTTTCACTTAACCTTGGCTCTCAAACTGGAAAGGTCTTTTCTTTAGGTTATTACCCCATGGAAAATGAACTCCCTGGAGATGGCCGCCTTCCAAATAGCATCTCCCCAGGCAGGGCTCCGCCCTGAGCAAACACACCGTGAGTCAGAGCTGGAATATCTGACATCAGCACTCGCTTCCTCCCCAGATCTGGCCACCACAGGAGCTGCAGGCTGCGCGGCCCGCCCTCCCCTCCGCGCACCCCAATTTCACAGTCAACAAGAGCCCTTACTTTTCTTGTTCTGCCTGGCAGTCAGCGTTCTTGCTCCGAAGTTCCTCTAGGGCCACCTCCCCTTCCCTGACTTTGGCCAGTAAGGCCTGATGCTCCTGGGTGGACCAAAAGAGAGAGGAAACCCACAATGAGAAAATGGCAGCAGTTTCTGGGTTTGAGGTGAGATGGGCACCAGGACTGGGACTCAGCCCCTACTGGGCCTGGGAGAGCTGCCAAAGAGCAGCAAGACAAGCTGGTTTGGTGGGGCACCCTCCCCTGTCAGGGAGAACCCTTCCACCCTCCACACACAGACATTTCCCAGCCTCGCCCAGCTGCCCAGAGGGAGAACCTGGCCCTGCGTTATGCAGGCCCACCTGCCAGCCATGGCGGCCAACCTCCGAGAAAGCTGGCTGCAGGACTTCCCAGCAACTGTCTTCAAAAGCCCCAAAGGGGCATCTGTATAAGAATCTGATTAAAGTGGAAATGGGTTCAACTCTAGTTAGGGGGAGGCTGAAGCTAGCTGAGAGAAAGATTTTCCCATGGAAGTGTGCTTTTTCTGGAGCTGCTCGGAAAAGCAGAGTCTCAACAGCCATCTCAATGAATCCTTGGGCCCAGCGCAGCCCAGGAGTCCAGCAATCCCAAGCAAGACGCCCACCATTACCGTCTCCATCCCTAACAAGCGCCTCTGCAGCTCTCCGACTTCTGCCTCTTTCTGCTCCACTCTGTCCTCTTCTCTCTGAAGGGCCACATTACTCTGTTCTGCTTCTCTCTGGTACTGGCTGAGTTTGACCTATATACAGGATGAGGATGTGTTTAATGGTAGGGAAAGAAAGTGCAAACATGGATAAAAACCTTAGAAAAGAACCCAGGAACCTGGGGCAGCTCTGGCACCAGGATGGGAGAAATGAGGCAACTCTGATGAGTGCCCCGCCACCTCCCATCACTTTCAGGACCACCTCGGAGGACTCTAGCAGATTAACTCTATTTACAGGGTTAACTGGCATACGATTGAGCTCCACTTTAAAGTGACACCCAGGCCAGGCATGGTGGGTCATGCCAATAATCCCAGCGCTTTGGGAGCCCAAGGCAGAAGGATCATTTGAGGCCAGGAGATTAAGACCAGCCTGGGTAACATAGTGAGACCCCATCTCTATGAAATATTTTTGAAAAAATTAGCTGGGTGTGGAGGCGCATGCCTATAGTACTAGCTACTCGACAGGCTGAGGCAGGAAGACAACTTGAGCCCAGGAGTTCAAGGTTGCAGTGAGTTGTGAACACACCACTGCATTCCAGCCTGGGTGACAGAGCAAAACTGTCTCTAGAAAAAAATTTAAAAATAATAAAATAAAATAAAGTGACACCCGGAACACACAAGCAATACTTTTCAGACGGCTGACTTCTTCAACATACGCAGGAATCCTGCAGTGCCAGCCAAGATTAACCCAATGTTGTGGCTTCACCACTAATTCAAAAGCAAATAATCCCAGGGAGGCTACATCTCCACGTTCTTACTTCTGTTTCCCCAACTATTCCTTGCCCTCAGTTCAAGCGATATTTCAGAGCCCACATACAAAGGCCTAAACAGCATCTGGAAGGGCTACTAAGCACCAGGAAAAATCTGTCCTTCATCAGAGATGAGAAGCCAACTGAGAAAAAAATAAAAGCAGAATTTTAGAATAAGAAATAAAAGTAAGAACTTGCTTCTGTTTCTCTCACTTGCATCTTGCCAACTCCTACTCATTCTTCAGGTCTCACTTAAGACACCCCCTCTTCCAGGGAGCCTTCTGAGCCTGCACAGGAGCTGTTCCTTTGTGTGCCCACAGAAGACACACAGCCCTTCCTTCTCAAAGCACTGAGTGGATTTTGCCCAGTTACCTGCCCTGAGTACGGTCAGCATCGTGACGACACAGACCTAAGCACCATTACATTTCCAGAGCTCCAAGTTATTGTACCTTGCGTGCAATAACTGCTTTATAAAATCAGAAATGGAATTTCACAAGTAAAGGTCAACTGGCCTATTAGAGGTCACGCAGCTAGTGAATGACAAAGCCAGTTTTAGAACCCAGTTACTTCACCCTCCATGTCAACGCTTCCCAGTTACCCTACACTGACTCTTCATCATTTACTAAAAAAGGATCCAGGTAACATCTGAAAAGCCTAGCCAGGCCTGGAAAAACAGAGAACACCAGCAGCCAGTTTGTCCGGCTCCTCCTGAAGTCAGAACCGGGGAGGAGAAAGCACAGCACGGGATGATGTACGATGGGACACGTCCACGCCACACGCCAGCCCTGTCTGGAGCAAACGCACTCTCACTGCAAATCCTTCCTGACAGCGAGCAGCCAGTCGAACGGGAAACCCAGGCTTAGCAGCAGGTTATTTTCATGTTAACTGATGATCTTGCCCTTCCTACCCCAAGGTTCAGAAAAGTAGGCCAGGGAGTCCAATTCACTAGGAAAGACTGAGGAAAGCTCTCAAATGACCTGACTTAGCCTGAAACAGGCCAGCCGCATGGGCAGGAACTTGAAAAGAAGGCTTTCCGTTTCTGCACGTGGACACCGCACCCGGGCCAATGAGCGCTCAGAACGCAGCGTGCACCATGCTCACAGCGCTGGGGCCCGTGGCCCAACCCTCGCACCCCATCACAGGATCACCAAGCTTAGAAAACAGAACAACACACTCCCATTCCACACCTGTCCCTGTAGCTCCTGCCAGCCTCGCCCCCCAAAGGAGCCTCTTAATTAGAAACGGGTGTGCCCAATGGTGGGAACAACGTGAGCACTTCCTGTTGCAGGTGGTGCTGTGCACCATGGGGCTAAGGAACAGCCTCTTCTGAACCGTGGGCGGTTGGCTGCAGTCGTCTGGCACCTTCTGGCCTCGGGCTTATATTCAGGGCACTTTTGCTCCAGCTCTGAAACCCAGAGCAGCAGAGTCCTCAGTGTGTGGTCAAAACTGACAAGTATTTCTGTAATTTCTACAACTTCGAAATGCCTCCCAATGCAGAAATTTCTTTCCAAAATTCACAACCTGGTCAGTGCTCCAGCCTCAACCTCCCCTTCCTCCTGTTTTGTTTCTGAGAAGGTAGGAGACCAAACTGATACATCACCAACCAAATGTTCCACATTGTGGAAGCTGAAACAGATGCAGAAAACGTCTTTATCAGACAGCTGGTTTGTTCTGAGATCAAAAACTAACCTTAGTATTACCCTAAGTCCAAACTATTTATGATAGGAAAATCTGCTTATGGAACTGATTGTGAAGAAAAATACAAACTATCTCTTATATTTCTAAAACCTTGTAGAATAACAAAGTGCTCTCACAAATATTACCTCATTTAATGCATACAACAAGCTTGTGAGGCACATTTCATGAACCCTTTGTATAATAGTTATATTTCTCAGTTCCATGAGAAAGAAGAGTTCAGGCTGCCCTCCTGTTTTTGCCAGCTCCCAGCATGCCTAGGCAGGATATAATCCTATCATAACATATTTATGACATAAAGAATACTTTATTTATGGAAGAGCAAAGCAGATAACAGATGGCTGATCTCATGGAGTAGTTAGAAAACTGTCCCATGGACCTTATTTTATACTCAAAGAATTTTCTATAAAGTATGAAAGACCTTACATATTTTTAATAGTAGGGGGCTTTTGCTCTCCATTTATAGACCTCTGTAATAATCTAGTATGCATTTTTTAAAAAATCTGTTACCTTTTATAACAATAATTAAGATACTCATTCCAGACCACAAAGCTCTGCATAGTAAAGCCTAGAGCTAAGGTCCTGTGACTCCATGGGCAAAGTTCTTTCTATAACGACACAGCCGACAGCACTCGTCCAGTCCACATTCACAAAGCACCCACCTTAAGACAGGTATTGTGCCAGACACTGGGGACTCAGTGGTGATCATGACAGCAGCAGTCCCTGCCTGCATGGAGCCTTACAGCCCAGTGACTCTCGCAGAAATTACTTCTGATTGACCTGCTGTCCCACACTAGTGTTACCGCTCAACTTCATCTGAGCAGAAAATCAAGAGCTGACCTTTAGATTTTTTTTTTTTTTTTGAGACAGAGTCTCACTCTATTGCCCCGCCTAGAGTGTCCTGGCGTCAGCCTAGCTCACAGCAACCTCAAACTCCTGGGCTCAAGCAATCCTTCTGCCTCAGCCTCCCGAGTAGCTGGGACTACAGGCATGTGCCACCATGCCTGGCTAATTTTTTTCTGTATATTTTTAAGTTGGTCCAGCTAATTTATTTCCATTTTTTTAGTAGAGACGGGGTCTCGCTCTTGCTCAGGCTGGTCTCAAACTCCTGAGCTCAAACAATCCACCTGCCTCGGCCTCCCATAGTGCTAGGATCATAGGCGTGAGCGCCCGCACCTGGCCAATAGCTGACCTTTGAACTATGGGCCAGCCTTGGACAATAAACCACCATAAGTGTCCAGGAGAGGGAAAAACAGACAAGTGCCCCAGGCCTTAAAGCCTTGCATTTCCAGTTGGTGACACCCAGCCAGAGAGACATGAAGTGCAAACCAAGAACGTCACTGGCACCTGCATCCAGCAGCCCATCCCTTAGGGCACCTTCTCCCCAAATCCCAGATCTCACCTCAAAAGCCACACGGTCTAACTGGTGTTGACGCTCAGCCTCCTGCAGCTTGGCAAGCAAGTCCTGCACGGTCTTCCTCAAGCTCTCGACATCTTCATTCATACAGGTGTCCACCTACGACCAGAGCAGGGAAAGGAAGGCAAAGCCACCACGTTTGTTATTTGGTAAGAAGGTCCGTTCCCTGCCATATGCTGGTTTGCACCATCTCACCCAGACCACACTCACAAAAGAATTAACATCACACGGGGCAGAGTTGGTCTTAGGCAGCCATTTCACTGACTTCTGAGTTATTCAATGAAACATTCTCCCTTCACACCCTAAAGAATTCAGCTAGCCTCAAATCACCCAATTATTTTAAGACACGCTCAGTAATAGTGTGTACTTATGTACATCAATGATTTCTTGGCAGGTATGTGTATGCATGCCATCTTTATGCTGTGTCCTGCTTCCCTGCATCAGACCTCTCTGAGAGCTGGTCCGTGTTCCTCTTTGGAACGTCTCCAGGGCTGGGGCCCAAGGCACACCTTTTACGTTCTCGGCACCAGGCACCGAGATCAGCGTGTGAAGGGTTACTGTCCACAATCTGATTCAGTGTAGGAAAAGGTGTCTCATCAAGGTTATGCCTCAGGTTTCTCATCATCCCAGTATCGGAGGACGAAGAAATTTGTTGAGGCCTGTGATGATTACTATGAGTTGATCTTGAGACATGTAAGGTTCGCCCCTCACTTCTGGTTAAATCAAATAACATACAAGCGACGTACACCTAGACTACACAAGTATAAAAGTGCCCTCGTTCATGAGGGTCTGGACGCTGAGAGGGGATATACAGACCCTTACACTGTCTCATGCATTGAAGTTAAGACATTGTCGAATTAATACCATGTGACTTAAAGGGCAGGACTCAAAAATATCCTAATCTTCAAAGAACAAGAGTGCTACAGTCACACACTCAGGTATAACAGAAGAAGGTCAGTTCCAGGGGATTCACGAACTCATGCCTGCGGGTAATTTTATATATAACCAACTATACGCCTGAGACGTCATCTCCTTTCTTCATCTGTGAACAGTGAGAAGACTCCTTACAACACCCTCGTTTGACACATCCAATTATTTTATTAGCAGGCATATGACCTATAATAAATAGCACAGATTTGTTGATGTGTCAAAGCTATATTCTAATCTCCATCACA